TTATGGTAGTTTATGAACTACTTATACGAAAACGTCATTAAGATCGAAATTTCATATAACACATTGAAGTACTACAATAAAATATTTGCCAACATATACTTTTAGAGTATAAATGAAGTTTTGTTTAATAGAGTTATAGTATAATACACATATATGTACGTTTTATAATCTTCTATGCTAAATGTTAGTTGGTTTGTTTGAAATTGGAAAACAAAAAAAGAAATTTATCAAAAAAAGAAATTGGAAAACAAAAAGATGACAGATAAAAAACATTTAAGGTGGTTGGGAAGAAAAAGACAAGGAGAATCCGTTCAACTTTGGGTGGGGTTATGAGATCTTTAATACGGTCCATGCAAATTATACAATAAGCTTAAGACCTATTCGCATCAATTTAACTTAAATAAACTTCATGAAGCATTCTTTTCTATCATAAATGTATATTTAATAACAATGGAGCAGTAACATATACGTCTCCTATTAATTAATTTGGGTAACTTAATAAAAAATAAACACATAACCTAACAATTTTTACGAAAACAATTGTGTTTTTTTTGGGTTGTATCACCAAATTTCAATACCGCATGTGTGGAAGACTGAATATTAAAGTCAACGTCGTGCTGGATACAGTCGAGATGGGATTATGAAGAATTCCAAAAACATTATCAGTTTTTTAAATTCTAATTATGAATAGAACTGTGAGGACAAAAAAATGTGTTTAGTTAGTTAATCACATTATTCGTTATAATATATCATGAACCAGAAGCAGAAGGAATTGGATATAATTTAAAACAAATTAATGAGATTTAATACTGGTTGACAAAAAAAAAGTGAAGATGTTAGTTATACTAATAATAGAGGTAATAAAACCACTAATATAATGTGATTAATCCCTTAGGATGCCATTGGGATTAAGTGTCTAATCATTGCATCTAATCATGTACTTACCTAGTGGTTGGATTTGATGATCAATGTGGCACATCCAATTCACAACTCAACTATCTAAATTATTGGTAGTTTGAAAATCAAATAAATATTAAACTCAAAAGCTTCTAAAAAAATTGGGAAAGGTCAGATAGTTTGTTTAAACAAAAGTTGTGCAATAGCACAGCACAAAAGTTTTGCAATAGCACAGCACACTTTTGTGTGATAACAATATTACTGTGAAGTTAGTTTTAGGATTCATCCATATAATCTATAAAATGCCAAGTAAAATTAGTTATTTCTCTCTTTATTTCCACATTTTTTTTGTCTTTCCTTTTGTCAACATTAGTTATTTGTCTTTATGTTGGTGAGATTTACCAGTTAAATAGTGATACTAATTATTCGAAGAAAATTGAAGAAGACAAAGCCTAAAGCAGTACAGTAAGGACAAAAGTTCAGACTTAAAAGTACCAATATCATTTAGGGGATATAATGAATTCGCACATTTATGTAGGTGAAAATAAATTATTTAGTTCTCCATGAAACTAAATAGTGTAGGTGAAAAATGAATTATTTTTTTCCATGAAACCAATCATCTGGAGTATAAATTATTTGTTTTTTTATTTAATAGCAATCTAGGATTTGATTTGTACTTTCAAATTGATGAAACAGTGGAATGAATCTACAAGTCCTCAATATTTGACCAATTTACATTATTGAATTAATAGTACAAAATCGCGATTTGAATTTATGATATTCCACCTTATTTAATAAAACTATCATTCTACAGTTTTCCAAATAAATTAAATATCTATTCCGTTTAATAATGCTAAAATTTTAATTTTGCACAGTTCAACTATTCCACAATATTAAAGCTCAAATTTATAGACCAAAACGTGAGTAGAATTTATATTTAACGATCTATAAGAGTTTGATGGTAAGAAAATGCATATTTGATGTGTGTATATTTCAAAAAAAAAAAATTAAATTTTCAAGTAGGAAAATGCATATTTGATGTGTATAGAATATGTGTGTTGTTTGTATATAATACATAGACCCTACATGTCCTTATATCTTCT